TTAGTTGTTGGCCATTATTTGCATTAGTTGCATTAATTGTTGGTAATTATTTGCATTAGTTGCAAATTTGCTTGGCAGTTTCGGCTGCTCTGGTGAAACTGCCGGATGTCAAAACCGCTCGAGACATCCTGACAATCGGGGCGGCCTGCGAAACTGCCGGGGGCGCCGAAACTGCCGGACAACTAATGCAACTAAAGGAAGGGCATTGCAAACAATTAATGAAGGACCAGAAAAAAGATAACAACTAAACCATGCCCATCGCCAACAACTAATGGGGGGCCGATGACTTCAATATTAACCCGCCATTGCCTCTGGAACCTCTCCTGCTGCGACATCGCCAGGCCCTGGGTTGTCAGACACCGAGCCGCCGCCCTCGGACACGTCGGGGAGGCAGTCCATGGCCGCCGCAGCGCCTGGCTCCTTCGCATGAGACGCATGAGCCCACCAGCGAGAACACACCTCCGAGAAGTCTACCTCCATGCCATCTTCAGGCGCGATCGATTGCTCCTCGGCCGCTGGCTCAGCCGCTGACTCCTCGGCCGCTGGCTCAACCGCTGGCCCCTCGGCCGCCGGCTCAGCCGCAGGCTCCTCGGCCGCCGGCTCAGCCGCTGGCTCAGCCGCTGGCCTCTCGGCCACTGGTTTAGCCGCTGGTTCAGCCGCGGGCTCCTCGGCCGCCGGCTCAGCCGTTGGTCCCTCGGCCGCTGGCTCAGCCGCTAGCTCGGCCGCTGGTTTAGCCGCAAGCTCCTCGGCCGCAGGCTCCTCGGCCGCTGGCTCAGCCGTTGGTCCCTCGGCCGCTGGCTCAGCCGCTAGCTCGGCCGCTGGTTTAGCCGCAAGCTCCTCGGCCGCTGGCTCCTCGGCCGCTGGCTCAGCCGCTAGGCTGACTCCTGAGTCAACGGCACCCTCAACCCCACTCGGAACCTCAACTCCTGCGCTCTCGCCCAGTGCCAGGCTGGATGCGAGCCTGGCCAGCGGAGGCCTGATGGCCGCAGCCGCATCCGGCGTGGCCGACTTCTGAGCGCTCCGCTGAAACGCCGCCTTGATGCCGATCGGTGAGCCTGTCGCTGGCTTGCCCGCCGCTGTGCTCGAGCTCGGCTTCTGAGCCGCCGCGGGCTGCCCTGGCTCTGCCTTCTCGACCTGAACCTCCGCTGCCTGCCGAGCTCTTTTCGCCCTGGACTTAGCGGTGGTAGGCCGCCCTGACGGCGGCTGGTCAGCCCCCGCGGGCGGGCCATCAGCGGGTCTGCGCATCCCTGAAGCAAAATGCTCCAGATGCTTCAGCCAAGCCCTGCCCTCGCAACCTTTCGAGCCCAGAAGGTCGCGGAGATGGGCGATGGGAGATGGGATGCGCAGGTAGAGCAATCATGAGTGAGGGCGCGCTGCAAGCGGCGGAAGGATAGGGGCCATGGGATTGGAGGGGCCGAGGAGGAGGAGGAGGAGGAGGAGGAGGAGGAGGAGACTGATTACGGATGGACTGAGAGGGGGCCGAGGATGCAGGATGCTAGGACGCTGCAAGCGAAGAAGGGCTTGGTGGGAGGAGAGGGAGGGGGCGGGACAGGATTACCTGGCGAGCGCACGGTCGCATTGGACATTGGACATTGGGCTCTGGCAAGCCCCCAGCAGGGATACAAGGTACAAGCCGTCGGACGCCATACTGCCATACTCCACCTGGCCCCCCGGTTCCCTCGGCTGCCCCGGGGAGGACTACAAGACGACAGTGGGATGATGAAGAGGCGTCACAGCCCGAACGCCAGGGGGGCAACAAGACGCCTGTAGAATGATGAAGAGGAGGAAACGAATGACCTGGGGGCCCCGCCCGTCGCCGTCTCCTCTGCCCCCGGCCCCAAAGGCCCCACGTCCCATGTCTCATGTTCCTCGCTCCCCCTCGCCCCCTCCAGCACGCCGCGAGCACGCGCGGGCAGGCGCCTGGAACTTCTCGGTGAGGAGGGCGGCGGCGCGAGCGGGGCCGCGCGACCGACGGCGACCGTCGGCAGATGGCCCGCGACGAAATTCGAGGATATGTTTTTTTGGACCCTGGGACCGTCGGAAAAGGACCCAGTCGACCCCCGTCATCTTCTTCGCGCCGCCGCCGCCACGACCTGTCTTCTCGGCGTCGACGTCCTCGAGGCCGTCGTCGTCGTGAGTTCGTTTGTCGTCGTCTTCGCTGTCGCCGCCGTCGCTGCGTCGCCTTCTCCCCTCGCCCAGGGCCAGGCTCAACCTTCGATCAAGGGACAGAAGACTCGAGATACACAGGCATACCGTAGCATATCTAACATTTCGACATTTCGCACATCTCGTTGACCTGCGCATATCACATAGCGAATAGCCTCAAATAGAACATATCATAGCGCCTAACAACACAGCGCCACATAGCACTTGGCACGCATAGCATAGTAGCATAGTAGCATAGTAGCATAGTAGCATAGTAGCATAGTAGCATAGTAGCATAGTAGCATACAGCATAGTAGCATAGTAGCATAGTAGCATAGTAGCATAGCTCATCGCACTGAATGCTTTAATCGAAGCAGGATTCTCCCCTTATCCCAGCCAGTACTCAATACTCAATACGTTTGACCCCATAACAAGTGCCACATCGCACGATCGCGCAACGTTCAATGGTTGGCCTATGGCGCCTATGGCCTATGGCCCCCCATTGGCCCAGTGGCCATTGGATTAAGCCAATGGCGAGCAAAGGCCCCCGGCGCCTTGGCCTTGGGAACCGCCCTGCAAAAGCGGAGCTGAAATTCAACGCCCTGATACAATCGCCACAGAGCGACAGACAATGATCAACTCTCGTGCGACGGAACTAATGACTGATGACTCAACGTTTCTTGCTTCCTCCTCCTCCTCCTCCCTACTACGCTTCCCTCCTCCTCCTCCGCCTCCTCCTTCCTTCTCCTGTCTGCTAAAGGGCGACGTCTAAAGGGCGACGTCAGGCTCACTGCCCTCGTCGTCTCGCTTCGGCCTCTCCAGCGCGAAGACGCTCTCAAAACCTGGCTGGGTCTTCAACCACGCGCGGGCAGCCCGCCTTCTCTCAAGGCCATCCTTTCCAGCCAAATAGAATTTTATTGCTTGGTGTGAGGCCTTATCGACGTACTCACCCTGACACTGCAACCACGCAATGAGCAATCCTAGGGGCCGACCCTGCCCACGCCTCTTGACGTGTGCTATGCGGCTGCGGTCTGTGTGGCAACACTGGGCTGGCGTGCCAAGCTCAGGATCAGCCCGTCTCACGTGAGACGCGCACTCGCAATGGACGTTTATGGTGGCGCCGTTCTCTTTCCAGACGACGCAACCCTCGACGCCAGGCACTCGGATTCTCCGCCACATGCCACCAGCGCCGAACACCTCCGGCCCCGCTGGCGCCGCTGGCGGAGGAGGAGCGCCGTCCGCGTCTCCGCCTTCACCGCCGCCTCCGCCGCCTTCACCGCCGCCGTCGCCGCCTCCATCAGCGCCGCCCTGCTCCCCGACCTCTTCCCCATCGGAGCCGCCGACTTCACCGCCGTCGCTCCTGAAAGAAACCTCTGAGTCTGAGCTCGACTCATCAGGCAAAAGCTCCACCATTCCCCCGCCAGCGGGCGCTGGCGGGGCCGGCGCGGCTGGGCCCGCAGGACCTCCTGGGACGTCTGGGGGGCCGCCGAGGCCGAGCTCTTCCTCTGCCCCGCCGGCGACCGCGGCAGCTTCTGGAACGCCAGGCAGATCGACGGTGCCAACCCTGCTGAGGATTTTCCCGACCTTCCCCTTTGGTTTCGTCTGTATCTTTTTCGGGGCATCGAGCGCGGCCAAGGGATCCACCTCCTTCGGCTTCTTGGGCTTCAAGAGCGCTGGCCAGATCTGGACGCCATCCGACCACCCTGACACGACGAAAGTGCCCATGTCGCTGTCTCCAGGGGCTCCAACGGCGATCAAGGAAGCGGTGCGCACCTCGATGGTTGCGAGGTCATCCTCGCGAAGCGGGGGTACCAACAAGCGCATCATGGCAGGACGACGCCCGGGTGAGAAACCGATGCGAATATCGCGAGGCACGACGGATGATCTTTCGAGGCGCCCAAGGGTCCAATTGAAGGCCCCAGGGAGATCGCCCCTGCTCTTCACGTATTAAACTATGCTTGTGCACTATACCCCATACAGTGCACCCTGTACCCAAATCCATGTATCCTTACCATGCCATATACCCAAGACCCTATACCCTATACCCTATACCACCCCATACCCCACGCCCCATACACCATGCCCAATACCAATTCCCAATACCCAATACCCAATACCCAATACCCAATACCCAATGCCCAATGCCCCAATGCCCAATGCCGCCGTTCTGAGAACCTTCTCTTCGGCGAGGTGGCGATAAACCCTAACCCCGCCCCCCAATGGGGAAAGAAAAGGTTGGAACAGAGGGCAACCTGAAACATTCGCCTCCAGTGAGCGTGGAAGGGGTCGACAGGGAGGGGCGGCGGTGATATCTGCAAAATGAACAATGCGAGAATGCCAGAATGCCAAATGCCAAAGGCCCACCCCCCGCGCTGATCGGCATCCAGCATCCACCATGTCGGCCCGAAAGAGAGCTCCGAGAACGTTTCAGAAGAGCTCGAAGGCACCGCGGGAGCCAGAAATAAGAAACAACTTGAAGGTACCCCGCGACCTCAACAATTCAGGCGCCTCGACATAGCATCGAGAGCTAAATGAGAAAATGCAGCGAATGAATTTCCAGCTCGTCCTGAAGAAGCCCCCAGGATAGACTCCGGATCCCAGATGCGCGCTTGCATGCTACATGCTGCATGCCTGCATGCCAGACGCTTCAAGAAACAAACTCAAAATTGATAACGGGAGTCCTGGGGAAGCTGCGATTTTACGCTCGTCATCGTCGCAGCCCATGCCCCCTGCCCCCTGCCCCCTGCCCCATGCCCCGTGCCCCGTGCCCCATGCCCACGCCGTCACCGCCGCCGTCGTCCACTGAACCGTCTGAAATGATCCCCTGCCCCCCGGTCCAAGCTCAAGAAAAAGTCCAAGATGAGGGCGTGGGACCCTATGTGCTTGAAACAGTCGCCATCGTCATAGTCGCCGCACCTGATCGGGCGGTACTCGTTGCCTGCAGGATCGACCTGAGAGATGACCGTGAACGAGTGAGTCTGGTGGTGAAAAGGCCTGCGAGCACGGATGTCGGAAAAGTGAAACTCCACGGCCCAGCGTTCGCCGCCGCCGCAAACCCCAGCCATCTGGAAACAACCATGCAACATGTCAGCGGTGAAGAAACGTTCGACGGCCAACGCGCACTTCATTACCCTCTCATACACGTGCGAGTGCATAGTGAAGCAAAGACCTCTATGGCGCTCCTGGCAAGAATAGCGACGACAATAATCTCGATCACCTGGGATGGCCCCCTTGTCTTCAACGACCAAGTCTCCTCGCGCCTGCCACCGCAACTCCGCCGACCGACCAACAACTCCTCGCCCGATGCCAAGCTTGGCCTCCAAGACGGCCTCGCTGACAGGCCAGTCGACGTTGCCGCTCGTCCACTGCTGCAGTCGGCGCTCCCGCGTGACCTCATCCTCCTCGGCCTCCTCAGCAGCAGGAGGCGCGCCGCCATCTTCGCCTCCAGCGCGCGGGCGGCGAGAGGGCAATGCCTCGCGTCGTTGAACCCTGGACATGCCCGACCACTCCTGAGTGATCTGCTCGAAGAAAACCCTGCGCTCCTCGGGGGTGGATCCAGGATGCTCCCTCTTCCATTGATTATACTTGATATTCCTCCACGCCATGTCGGGGCGGGCGACCATTGGCTTAGGTCTGGCAAGTCTCCTCGCCCGATGAGTGCTGTCCGCCTCCAGTGGCACGCCACCGTTCTGCATCTCAGACCTCTTCTGGACCACGCTGTTCTTGAAACCTTTGGCCAAGTGATCCTTCATGAGGGACGAAAGCTCCGCGACGTACGCGAGCGTCTCCACCGATGGCTTCTTCTTGGTCTGGCCAAGGGAACTCTTCATCTGAGCGAGCAAGTTCTCAAGCGGCATATTAGTAACATTGCAGCGCCTTCCAGCCTGCTGTAGGAACTGCCACGCCGGGCCGTCGATATGGTCTATCGTGGGGCACGCAGTTCTGAAGGGCTCGCTGAAAAATTCATCGAGGCAACAACTCTTGGCAGCGTAGAACTCGCGAAGCACTGGCATGGCGGAGTCGACGCTGTCCGCCGCCGCGCGCGCCGCCAGCAGCTTCAGCGGCCATCGGACCATCAGTGCCTGCTGGAGGCGAGACACGTACGACATACGATATACGATCTATGCGATGAGGAGGCGGGAACGATGAGCGGGCAGGGGAAAAGAAGAAGAGGAGGAAGAGAAGAGGAGGTGGACGGGAGGGGGGAGAGGATAATGAGGAAGCGCTGAAGTGAGGAGGAGGAGGAGAGCGACGAGGAGGGGGAAGAGGAGGATGAGGATGAGGTGGCTTAGGATGCGATGGAGGGAAAATAGGACAAAGAAGTCGAAGGGTGATACCGAGGATGAGGAGGAGGAGGCGGTGGAAGAGGGAGTGTGTGAGCGGCCTCCACGCGGGCGTCCACCTGCGAAGACACGCCGATGATGGTGTTCCTATACTGTTCGGAGCTCAATGCGAAATCGGAGGTCATGCCGAATAAGTGCTTCATCAACCCCAACTGCCACGCCGTTCGCGAAGGCTTCGGCGGGGTGCCAGGGGTGGCGTCGCACACCAGATGGCGCAGATGCGTCATAGCCGCGCTCTGCATGCTGAGGCCGCCGCCGACGAACTCGACGAGCGGGCACTTCTGCGCATGGTCGAGGTGCTGCATGCGATTGGTCATGTGGTCTAAGGGCTCGGTGGCGAGCGCCGCGCTCGCAACCACGAAAGGCGTCTTGGGGTCCGACATGAATGCGATGGACTGCTTCACCTTTTTCGTGCGGTAGACCTTGAAGCTGACGTCAGGGTCATCCTCGGCGATGGGCTTGTCGTTGTCGAGCATCCCGTCGCTGTGCAACTGCACGATCACCCTCGGGAGGATCTGATGCATGAACACTCCGAGGCCCTGCACCTCCAGCGCGGTCCCGAATGTGTACCAACGATTGCAAGCAGGGACTTTCTCAGACACTCTGTCGAATACGGCCTGCCGCAGGACGGAGAGCAGCCTCTCGGCGCAGACGTCCAGGCGGTGACCGCCGCAGCAACCAGGTTTGTAGCAGAAGTGCTGGAAACCGACGACCCTCCAGTCGCCGTTGGCGACCTCCAATAAAGCGTTCCCCAACTCCAAAAGATAATCCTGATTCTTTGCCATGGTTTCCGACAACAATCGGCCGCGCGTGTAGATGCTCCTCAACAAAGTCATGTTCAAGATCTGGCTCGATCTCTCCGTCGCGCCCAACGGGGGTCGGGCATGCGGGCAGAAGCCGCCGTGCTCAAGGTCGTGCACGATGATACCCTTCAAGACTTTCAGCATCATCTCGCTCCTACCAGTCTCGCCGGACATGAAGCAGACCGAGTGGAGACGAGGTATCAGCTCCTCTGTACCGAAAGCCTTCTCAACGACTCTGTGAAGCACGTGCACCAAACATATCATGTCCAAAACTGCGATGACGCCGACAGCGCCGCCCTCGCATTCCTGGGCGCGCTTGTTGTGGTCGCGAACAAGAGAGAGGACGTGAAGTTTCAGGCGCTGGTTGGAAGAATCCAGGTCGGAGCCCATGGAATATAAGAGCATCTTCAAGCACTTCGAAAGCCTGACGAGGCCTTCCCAGTTCAAGTCCTTCGTCCCAGCCTCCATGCCCTCCCACAAGGTAGACGCGCCCTTGGAGCCCATGAAGACATACGGCATGACGGGGCTCTCGCTGCGGAGGTCACCCGGGAGGTCACGCGCGGCCTCGAAGCCCAAGCCAGCGAGAACATCTCGCTCTGCCTCGCCCTCGGTCCACGTGACCCGCAACGTCTGGGCCATGATGTGCAGCACGCCCGCCCGGGGCTCGCGGCCTTTCGCGAGGCCGCGGCGCTGGTACTCGCTGTAGCTAATCAGCTCCGAGCGCACGGATGGCGTACCGCTGGCGCACTTGGCGACGTCCCGCCACCAAAACCTGGAAGCATTGTGACGAGTATTGGGTAGTGAATAATGAATAAGAGTAATGGGTGTAAGGTAATAGGTGATAGGTGAGAGGCAAGAAGAAACAGGTAACAGACCGTGGGACCATGGGCAATTGTCATTGGCATTGGGCATTGGACAGTGGGCAAACGACCAAAGGGATAATGACATCACGACATCACGAAACGTGGGTCACTGATCACGGATCATGGATCATGGGTCATGGGTCATGGGCCAGGGATCCAATGGACGAGGGGGAGATGAAGTAGCAAGCGTGGACATGGAAGATTGGGGTGAAGGCCCGCGCAACCTGGCGACTGGCCGAATCAGATCCGCACAGCAGCCGAAGTTCAACGTCATGGGGGTCAAGTCGAAAGCCCGGTGGACGATCGCCCAACTCGCCGAGCAAGTCCCCGTCTCCAATGCCAACCTCCACTGGCGAATGTGATCGCCAAGGCGGGACCTGTGCGACAGCGCCGTCGTCGCGACGGCGTCAAGCTCCCGGTGCGAGGTCCTGGCTAGTCCAGCGAAGTTGCCGCCGATCCTGGAGAAGGCATATTGGAGCGTGCCGCTGAGTGTCCACTGGTTCGCATGCAATCGACGTCGCTTCGACTGGATCTCCTGGGGGCCCCCGCCGACGTCGTCGCACACTCTCCTAGTAGCGCGGGCCACAGGTGCGGTAAGCTGCTGAAGGTGGTCACCAGCGCGAAGCTGGCGGCGATTCCACTGCTGCCTCACGTTCGTGTACCGCGACGCCACCTCAGAGACCACGGCGTTGGCGTCCTGGAAAAAACGAGTGAGAGCTCTACGCGCAGACTTATCTTTGACCCGCTTCAGATGGTCCGCCACCGGGAGGCGCTGCGGGAAGCGAGCCCCTCCGCCTCCAGCCTCGCCGCCGACGGCGGCGACGTCCTCATCGGGCGCGGCCCCTGCTGCTGGGCGTTCGTCCGCATCCTCTTGGCCTGATTGGCCCGACTCGCAATCGGGCAACAAGTCCATGAGCCATGAGGACCAGAGCCAAAATGGCTGCCAATGCCCAATGCACGATGCTGCCGTTCTGTCATATGATTGCTGTTGTCATGGTTTAAGGCTGTACCTCTATGGCCTACGATTAATGTTCAAAGCCCTGCGACCCTACCATGTAGCGTGCGGCGTTTGCGCCTACATCGTGCATTTTGCCCTTGCGTGATTGCGTGCCCCATGTGCCATGTGTCATGAGAGTCATGAGTCACGGGCTATTTGTTACATGTTCATGCGATGATGCGCTGTGTGACTTGGCACGTGGCGCAGGATGGCTCCAATGCGAATGTCCCAAGACTGCAAATGACCCAAATGTCAGAGGGGCGGACAGCAGACGGCAGATGGCTCAATGCGGTCCAATGAGAAGAGCAGTAGATCTCCCAGTCCAGACCACAAGGTTCCAAGATACAAAGATGCCAGACACCAAGACTTAAAGATAGCCGAGTACCACGAGACGGCCCAAAGACCCAAGACACAAGACACCGATCGCATGACTTGCGGCTCATGGCTCATGGCTCACCCATGGCCCATGACCCATGAATAAAATATGGCCCAAGACCAAAGACCCGAGACACATGACCCAAAGACTCTTAGCAGACCCAAGACCCAAGACGCCAAGACCCAATAATACCAAGACACCAGAATACCCAAATACCCCAAGACACCAGAATACCAGAATACCCAAGACACCAGGCAGGAACAACGCGGTGGCGGATCGTGGAGCTCCTCACTGCATTGTGTCTCGCGTCCCCAGCCACTGCTGGCTCAACGGCTGTCCTTCGGATCGAAATGCCGCTGGCGCCGCGGCGTCGCAGACATCTATCAAACTGCAGGCCCCCTGGCCATGCCTGACATTATGACACTACGCATTCTGAATGTACTTGGTGAGGTCTCGTGAAGCAAGGCGCATGCGCGCATGCGCATGCGCGCATGCGCGCATGCAGCATACAGCATACAGCATACGCGCATGCAGCATGCAGAATGGAACCTGCGGAAAACATGCAACAAACAATCTAGTGAAGAGCCGTGCTCGATAATCAAAGAAGAAACCACAGCAATCGCTGATCAATGGTCATAGAGTCATAGATCACACAGCGCCGAAAACGACGTAAAGGAAGCAATGATACTGAGGTGACATGCCGCGATTGTCATCAGCCTTGTTCTGACACTGATACGAGTAAGTCTTAGCATGCTGTATCAAAGTGCGCTCCATGACGCCTCCATCTCCAGGAGATGTGACGCCGATGAGTCTCATTGCAGACCAGGATTCACAATGCCCGTCCATGTAGCCCCGCGACGTCTCACCGCCCAACCAGCGATGAATCGGTGAACGAGTGGCCCCAACGTAAAAGTCGTGCCCAGCGCTGCCAACTCTGTCAATCGCATCCATGGCGATGGAGAGCTGATCGTCGGCAGTGGCGAAAATCGCGTCACCCATGATGCAGCCCCAATGTATGGGCACGTTCTGTCGCATTGCCTTGTCGTACTCGGCGCCCCGGGCGCTCTCCAGAGCAGCGAGACGCCCTATCTCTGCAACGCGACGCGCCTCAGCGCGGGACTCTGCCTCTACGCGATCGAGCTCCAAGTCGCGCTCGATCTGGGTGCACTGCGAGTCCAGCGAATCAGCGGGCGACTCTAGAACCAATGAGTACTGGGCCAAGAGCGCCACCAAGGAATCCTGACTTGCATCTGGGGCCCCCGATGGAGGGGCGTCGCCAGCGTCGCCGCGGCTCACCGCGTCAGCTGGCTGGCGATCAGCCCGAGCAGTTTCGCCGGCGGACGGGCGGTGAGCAGGCGGAGTTTCGTGGACGTCGACGTCATCAGCGGGCACATCCAGCAACGGGCATCCTGCGGCCTTCCCATTCTCCTCGCCAGCAGCCTCGATCACGGCCTCGTCCGCCACCTCCGCCGCCGAACGGCCAGATCGAAGTAGATCAACGCGGGTGGCCATTCCTGCGCCCAGGCCCCCGACCTCAGAAAAACAGCAGCAGCATCCCGCCGCCGAGCCCCCGTCGTCGTCAACCGTGCGGCCGAGCATCCCAGCAGCTAGCCAGCGGCGGCGGCGCCCCTGGCCGGGCGAAACTGCCGAACTCGCCCTCGCCGCGGCAGCGGCGTCGTCCGCCAGGATGGCAGGGCTCCGAACTCGCATTGTGACCTTTGCGTTGCCACCAGGATGGCAAGGCTCCGAACTCGCAGGACGGCAAGGCCCCGAACTCGCAGGATGGCAAGGCCTCGGCCGCCTGTGAGCCTCGGGCGGCGTCCACTCGAACAGCTTTGACAACAACTCATCGCGCCGCCGCCTGTCACGCAAGGACGGCGTGCGGCTCCGTGCAGCCATCCGCGCGCTCACGCCATCAGCATGCAGCATGCAGCTGTGGACAGCGCGCGGGGCCGCCAAGCCACCAATGTTTGAGCCAAGGCGAATGCAAACGAGGCGGCGGTGAAACGCGCGTCTCCCCGCCCATTTCGGCGCGCCCTTCTGCGTCTCGCTGCCACGCCCTATCGCCAATTGCCCATGGCCCTGTGCCCTTGTGGCATTCGCCCGCGTAGGCCCATAGCATAGACCAACGCTATACATATGCCTCACCTGTGACCTACATCTTATACCATAGGCAATGCCCATGCCCTATAACCTATGACATATAACATATAACCTATAACCTGTACCTAGCCCATGACCAGGGACCTACGACCTATAACTCAAGCCCAAATCCCCTTTGGGCCCATGGCCCATGGGCCCGTAGCCACGAGGACCTCCGCAACACGCCCACTTGCCCAGTCGGCGTGATTACACATGGGCCATGCGGGCATGAGGCATGGAGCCTGCTCGTTGATCGTGTCTCATGTCCTCATGTCGGCGCGCTACGATGTGCTCCACGTGCTGAAGTGAATGCAAAGATTGTGGTTACGTGCGGTGCGCCGGGCCCGTTCGTTGACTGAATTGTTGGTATTATTTGCTGTAACTGTTTCGCATCCTACTCGTTAGTTTCATTGATCGTATGTCGTATGTCGTATGTCGTATGTACGGATGTGATGTCTTTATTCGTTGAATTTATCATTCGTTAGTTCTTCCTTGGTTGTAACGATTGTTTTGTGGGCGCTGCATTAGTTGTATGCGTTGCTGTATTGATCCTGCATTAGTTGTATTAGTTACTTGGCAGGCGCTGCATTAGTTGTATTAGTTGCTTGCAGTTGCGGCATAGGGCATAGGGTTGTTGCAGTTGTTTTGCGTTGTGCTCATTAGTTGCATTGGTTGTTTGTGATGTTTCATTCGTTGAATTAAACGTTCTGTAATTCTTCATTAGTTGTAATAATTGTTTTGCGCGCGTTCCATTAATTGCATTCGTTGCTGTGCTGGTCCTGCATTAATGATTTAGTTGTTTGGCAGACCCTGCATTAGTTGCATTCGTTGCTGTGCTGGTCCTGCATTTATGGTATTAGTTGTTTGGCAGACCCTGCATTACTTGCACTCGTTGCTTTGATCGGTGTTTCATGTGTTGTATTACTTGTGCTGTAGTTGTATTACTTGTGTTGTATTATATGCTGGTGATGTGCTCCATTAGTTGCATTATTTGCTTTTGTTGTCGGTGGAACCTGTATAAGGTGCGTCTGGGCCACTCAGCACATGCGTGATACAATGAATGAGCTGCTCAACGTGTGTAGGCGCGGTACCATGGCGCCATGCGCACAACCGTTGCAAGAGACCAGACTGCGGGCAGTGCTCGGGCGGGGTCGGGATAGCAAATTTTTCGCTGCCGATAAAAAAAACACTTCTGGATCCCTTTGCGATCTACATTTTGCGGCAGCAGGCTGAAGACAGAGGCGTGCACAGTGGCAGACTGCAGGATGGACGAGAGGAAACCACGCTTCCACCACCCCATCATCCCACGAGCAATGCACATTTCATCACTAGATCGTACCTCCTGCACACGCGTGGGGGCTGGCTGAACAGCAGGGCACTTCGCGAGCAAACGAAGTTGGCTGGCGCTGGCAAGAACGGAAAAGTTCGGAAACTCGATGCGAATGACCAAACTACGCAGCCCCATGAGCATGTGCTTAGAGAAGCTGCGGCGCGGAGCGGCATTCAGCAACTGCATGGCACGATCACTCGCTGCCAACAACTCAGGCAACGGCGGATAGCATTGAAGAGTGAACTGAAGCTTAGAGAGGGCAAGGCATTGGCATGATGAGATAGACCGAGGGAGACCGTAGCCGTGTTGACGGGTGGCACGACATCAAGCAGCGAAAGCAGGCAGGACTTCATTCCAATCATCTTATATAAGCCTGGGGACCGATGAGGATGCCCAGGTACTTACAGTAGTGTACAACCTGCAGCAACGCGAAGGGCTCGCCTAAGTCCTCGCAGAGCCTGGTAAACATGTTCAGCTTAGTATTCCCAACCAAGAGAAACACGCATTTTTTGAAATTCAGGCAAAGGCCAACCATAGGCCCAATACAGGAAATATGAGCTAGTACCCGAGGGAGCCCAGCAAGTACATTGGGGATCATGATGAGCCAGTCATCAGCGTAAGCGAGCATACGGTGTACATAGTGGCCACTCTTCCAGATCAGCCAGCGCATGATGGGGTCTGTACACAACGCGAACAGGATCATCGAGGCGGGCCCCCCTTGTCTCACTCCACGTTCGATCCGGATTTGGACGATCCGACGGCCTCCAAGAGTAACCCACCCCTTGTTTGCACGATGGAGCTCCTGGAAGAAAGCGATGATGGAAGTAGGGGACCCCATACGAGTCAAAACAGATCTGATCCAGCGGATGAAAACGAACGGGAAGGCGGCCGAGAAATCGGCCAGGAGCTCTGCTGCATGCTTGCTACCAGTCCCCCATTGCTCCATCCCCCAAGCCTCCGCCTCCACAATGTTTGCCAGCATATCCCTCCCGCGGGCCCCGCCTTTCTGATTATCCAGGGCGGTGACAGCAGCAACAGAGCAGAGCGGCACACACATGGCGAGCGACAGGCACTTGCAATCGGTGTCCGAGAGTGCCAGCGGGCGCGTCGCAACCAGGGCCCGAACGGCCCCGGAGACCGGATCCGACGGGCTTGTGCCCTTCGGGAGGAAAACGAGCAGCATCTCGCGCATGCTGTCGGGCATGTCAGCGCTGTGGTTGTGGTATAAGTGTGTGTACGCACCATAAAGAATGCCCAATGCAGGTGCGCAACGCCAACATGTGTACGGGATGCCATCCGGCCCAGGGGCAGTGTTTTTTTACGGCCGAGCATCAGATCCATAAACGCGTTTTGGTCCAGGAGGTAGGTGGGCTGAACATCAACATCAGCAATCTTCGGTATAAGCTGGGCAACCTCCTCCCACAGGGTCCTGTCCTCGGGCGCGCGCATAAAGACCTGCCCCCAATGCGCAGCGAGAGCAGCACCTGATTCATCAAGCGAGCGGCAAGGCTCACCATCCTCACCTAGCGCACCTAAAAGAAAAACTCGACGACGAAGCTTTCCTCCTTCACCTCCCCGCCTGCCTCAGTAACCATGCCCCCCTCCTCCAAGCTCCGAGCGACGAGGGTCTCCAACCCGTGCAGAGTCTCCTGAATAATGGCTTCTTGAAGTGCGCGCGCGTGCTCGCAAAGCTGAGGCAGATCATTGCATGCTTCAGTTCCCACGTCGAAGAAGAGCACGAGGTCGGGGTAAGTGCGAAGGGCAGCGATACACATGAAACGTATGCGGTACCTTACACCACGGAGTGCATGCATAATCCAATAATGCTTCTCAGCACGAGTGCGCGCGCGACGATGCTTAATCTGCTGACGAGCGGGGCCAACCTGCTCTGCGAAAATATGCTCGGCGGCTTCTAGCCGCGCTATCGGGTGCCAAGAGTCGGGGAACTCTTGAAGCAACGTGCAGGTGAGCGCCTTATACTCAGGCGAGTTGGCCACGAACAGGGGAGCAACTGGAGCAGACTTAGTCGGGTCGAACTTCTGAGACGAAACGATAAGCGGGCGATGGCCAGAAGGTCCAGAACGATCCAGGCTACCCCAAACTTTGGCACGCATCGTATAGTCCTGGAGGAGGGGGCCGGGGAGGTCCGAGTAGATCCTGCCCAGGCGCGACGAGTGCGATTCACGGGAATTGTTCCAACCTTGCCTCGTGGGCTCGTCCCGCGCAAACTCTATCCACGAACTACGCGCAGCATTGCATGCGTCGCGATGCAGGCGGTCGCCACTGCGCCAAGTGCGCCCATCATCCCCCATCCGTCCTTCTTCCGCAAGGGCGAAATTCCAATCCCCAGCAATCAGATTGAACGAAGCAGTGGCAGGTGGGAACGCATTGCATATATCACCCAGAATGCGGCGATACAAAGGCGTCTCATCATTAGTATCAGGCATGCGGCAATTGATGATGCATCGCATGGTTCCACGACCAACGCAATGAGTCAGAAGCACGCGACCAGAGACAACAGGAGTATGAGAGATAGTGCGAAAAGGGTGGGCAAGCTGCTCATGCACGATAGTCGAGGCACCTCCATTGTTGGCCTCCGCATGCATAGAAAACCAGATGCTGCCCCCTTGAAGCTGCGACTGGAGCTCTTCGCTATCCCCAACCCAAGATGGCCATGAGTCTCTTGCGCACAGACGACGCTATGACGAGAGGCCAATTTCAGGAGCTGGGAGCAACGACGTGATGCGCGAGGCCCCACCACCCACAGCAGTAAATAGACGTTGAGAGTTCCAACTGGCAATCGACAAACTGTTCATCGGTAAGTATGGCATAGTGGGATCAGCAGCAACGACAACGGAGACGGAACTAGAGTCGGAAGATGAGCTGCTAAACAAATTCGAGGAGCTGCCTGAACTACTACTACTACTACTACTACTACTACTGCTACTGCTACTACCACTACTACTACTACTACTACTGCTACTACCACTACTACTACTATTACTACTACTACTACTACTACTACTACTACTTCTACTACTACTACTACTACTACTACTACTAACACTACTACTACTACTACTACTACTACTACTACTACTATTACTACTACTACTACTACTACTACTACTACTACTACTACTACTACTACTACTATCAGAGTCGCTGCTACTAGACGAATTAGGTATACAATCTAACCAGGGCTCTAGGTCAGACTCACAATCATGGCCATCTTGGGACGCTTCAAAACGGACGCCTGAGAGCCACTTTCGCTGCCGCGATCAGCGCATCTGCATGGGCCTCCAGCCCAAACTCAGGAAGGGCCGCGCTCTCCAAGTCCATGTGGATCTCGTCCGAGACGTCCCTCGGCTTGAGGCGAGCAACGCGCACGGGGTCCTCCTGGCTGCGAAGCACGTAGATGTCGCCGCCTAGGCCGCTCGAGCCGACCGTGAAGTCAGTAGAGTGAAGGATGGTCTCGGTCTTGTTACGCATCTTGCCCATCGCCAAGAATAAGCGCCGGCTGCGAATATCCAGATCACGACGAAGCTTGAGAGAAAGAGCGCCTCCACGTGGGTCGGGAAATGTAGTGTGAGCCGCGAAGTTGCTGAGGAAGTTGCTGGCCTGTGAGGCGTCGCCGAGCTCGAAGATAGCCTTGCGATTCATGTCGAAAACTTTGGTGATGCACTGCGAGTGGTTACCCTGCGGCATGGCCTGCAAGCGAACCTGCTCAGCAGCGCGGCGCAACGTACTGGCCATCATAGGCCGTGGGAAGCCCAAGAGCACCAGCCTGCATGCACCCTCCTGCTGTGAAGCCGAACGTGAAGATGACAACCGCGTAGATCCTGAAGCCGTCGCGGAGCGTCATGAGGAAGGGCTGAGAACCCGCTGCCGACGATGTGGTGGCTGCTCATGGTCCTGCACGTGGTACTGCGCGGTGAAGGTCTCCATCGTCTCCTGAATCTTGCTGATGGTTGCCTCGAGCTGCTGAATCTTCTGGGTGCGCTGCGACGTGAAGTGCGCCGCGCCCATGGAGTCATCAGCCTCATTCTGAATCACCTCCATGCGAGCCTCCAGAATGTCAAGACGAGCCGCTGCCGAACTGATGTCAGAGCTCATCTGCTCGAAGTTGTGGTTGACAGATTGCTGCATCTCGTTCATGCGAGTGTTCATGCCAGTCATGCCATTGAGCAACTGCTGTGCCCACACGGGAGTGGCCTCGCCAGCTCCAGCCATGGCTGCGGGGCTGCGAGTGCGGGAAGAGACAGAGTGCCTGCCGAGCGAGAAGGAGGACGGGTAGCTGCACCCGCCGAGATGCTTGACCCAGAAGTTGCGAACCGCCAAAGCTATTCGCTACACCTCGGGCGTATATAGCCCTTCGTAACGTTTAGCCTTGAGCAAAAGTGGCTACGGATGATGATGATGATGATGATGCTGCTGCTGCTGCTGAAGATGATGATGATGATAATGATAATGATGTTGGAGTGTTCCTGTCCCTGATGAGGCTGTTGCTGATGATGCCGATTATGCTGAAGTGCGGGTGATATTGTTCTTGCGCAGAGGCGGGTGTGTAGCGAAAACAAGAAAAGCACTCTGGATGTGGGGAAAACAACACATTCGAGTAGGGGTCGCACGAGGGCCGTGTATTGTTTGCGGGGGCTGGGACATGCGTCTGGTCGCCCAGACAGAATTCCTCCCACGACAAAGTTCCCGAGCCATCTTGGTCGGCGTCTCGGAAGAACGATTTGACCTCGTCACTGTACAGGTGGACCTTCTGCTGCTCCTCCTGAACGATCAAAGACTTGTCCCGCTTGTACACTTCCGAGGTAGCCCGCCGACCCCCCCTTGAGGTTATGAGTGCGGCGCCTCGCATGTATCCTCCAATCCTGGACTCCCCCTGTTCCTCCTCATACACCGTTTCTTCCCCACTCTCCCCCTTTCCCTTCAGATTCCACGTTCCTGCTTCTGCAATGTCCCGGGTGCCCCTGAGACAGTCCTGATCCTCAGGGCACGCAACTATAACGGTGGTACACCTTACGATGAGGCAAGAGAGCTGGCGGACGCACTGCAAACGCTATGGATTTTGACAACACCCCCTACAACTACATTCAGTACGAGGAACGTCATGAAGAAGATGTAGACGAGGAACAACGAGCCATAGGTCCAGTGCATGTCCAGCAGTGCGACCAATACCTATCGCCAGGGGTCCCTAACTCGAGCGTCAAACGACGAAATCCCCACTTACTTCACTCAATACCGTGATAGGCACCGTCATGAACACAACCATCCAGCATCGCCAATTGTTTCGGTAGCCCTGTGCTGGGCCAACCGCTCGAACACCTGCATCTGCTCGTGCTCGTGCGTTTCACCCTTCGCTCTGCTCGTGCTGCATGGAATTCGCGCTCCCGCTGCTGCAGATGCTGCCGCGTTCTATGGTCCTCCTCCGCGCCCCGCCTCCCTCTCGCCCCCCCCCTTCTCTTCGCCGCCAGTGAGCAGGCTGATGCTGCAGTATGCTGTGCTGCTGACATGCTGCACTGCCGAAACAGCCGCGGACCGTGACAATCGCCTTTTCGTCCCCTCTCCACCTCCTGCCTCCATCCCCTGCCCCCTGCTTGCACCCTGGGTGTGTCTGATGCTCGCGCCCGGGACCTGTGTTGTGCTCTTGCTGCTCGTGCATTCGTTCCCGCTCCCGCTGCCGCTCTGGTCCGCATGCTAGGACTGCAGACTGCTCCTGATTACTGTTCAAAGAGCTTCACGTGATCGTCCCTTGTTTCCCCTCTTCCTCCTCCTCCTCCTCCTCCAGCTCCTCCTCCTCCTCCTCCTCCAGCTCCTCCAGCTCCTCCTCCTCCTCCTCCTCCTCCTCCTCCTCCTCCTCCTCCCCGTGCTAATGGTGCGCAGCGCTCCTGTTGGGTAGTTAGTCGGGTGAGGACGCACGGGGCGCCTGTAAGGAGACCATCGCTTTCCGAAGAGGACCTCGCCCGAGCACTCTGGAGTTACGCCACCAGGGCGACACAGGCAATCCGGTTTCCAATCGGGGTCCTCCCAACCCCGCCTGAAAATCACCATATCGAGCGAGCAGTTGCTTACTCGACATATCGGGAGGCTGGACATCGTTTCCCGGCTCATCCACACCTGCCTTATGAATCAGGTTATTGTGTGGCATTCGCACGAGGTGTATTACCTCCACAGGGCTGCGCCCTGATACGGCTGTGTGGGGGTGGCCTCCCCAGTCTTGCATTATTGAACAGGATAGTCTTGCCAACACCAGGCATTGTGTTCATGCGTTGACCCCTCATGCTGGGGCCTTGGCTGGCCCATCATGCGTTGACCCCAACATGCTGCGGCATTGGCCCTTCATGCGTCGACACATCATGCTGGGGCATTGGTCCCTCACGCGCGGACCCTCATGCTGGGGCCTTGGCTGGCCCCACATGAATTGACCCCAACATGCTGCGGCAGCGCCCCTTCATGCGTCGACCCCTCATGCAACCCCCACGTCGGGGCTTTGACCCCTTATGCCCTGACCCCTCATGCTAGGGCCTTTGCTGGCCCCTCATGCGTTGACCCCCTCATGCTGGGTCATTGGCCCTTCATGCGTTGACACCTCATGCCCAGGCTTCGGCCCCTCATGCCCTGACCCTCCCATGCTGGGGCCTTGGCTGGCCCCTCATGAATTGACCCCCTCCTGCTGGGGCATTGGCCCTTCATGCGTTGACACCTCATGCCCGGGCTTCGGCCCCTCATGCCCTGACCCCCTCATGCTGGGGCCTTGGCTGGCCCCTCATGAATTGACCCCCCCATGCTGGGGCATTGGCCCTTCATCCTTCATGTGTTGACTCCTCGTGCCAGGGCTTCGGCCCCTCATGCCCTGACCCCTCATGCTGGGGCCTTGGCTGGCCCATCATGCGTTGACCCCCTCATGCTGGGGCAGTGCCCCTCCATGCGTTGACCCCTCATGCCAGGATTTCGGCCCCTCATGCCCTGACCCCTCATGCTGGGGCCTTGGTTGGCCCCTCATGAATTGACCCCAACATGCTGCGGCAGCGCCCCTTCATGCATCGACCCCTCATGCCACCCTCATGCCGGGGCTTCGTCCCCTCATGCCCTGACCCCTCATGCTGGGGCCTTTGCTGGCCCCTCATGCGTTGACCCCCTCATGCTGGGTCATTGGCCCTTCATGCGTTGACACCTCATGCCCGGGCTTCGGCCCCTCATGCCCTGACCCCCTCATGCTGGGGCCTTGGCTGGCCCCTCATGAATTGACCCCCCCATGCTGGGGCATTGGCCCTTTATCCTTCATGCGTTGACCCCTCATGCCAGGGCTTCGGTCCCTCATGCCCTTACCCCTCATGCTGGGGCCTTGGCTGGCCCCTCATGCGTTGACCCCCTCATGCTTGGGCATTGCCCCTTCATGCGTTGATCCCTCATGCCATGACTTCGGCCCCTCATGCCCTGACCCCTCATGCTGGGGCCTTGGCTGGCCCCTCATGCGTTGACCCCCTCATGCGTTGACCTCTCAGGCGTTGACCTCTCGTGCCCTGGCTTCGGCCCCTCATGCGCTGACCCGCTCATGCTGGGGCCTTGGCTGGCCCCTCATGCCCTGACCCCTTCATGCTGGGGCATAGGCCCTTCATGCGTTGACCCCTCATGCCGGGGCTTCGGTCCCTCATGCCCTGACCCGCTCATGCTGGAGCCTTGGCTGGCCCCTCATGCGTTGACCCCCCCATGCTGGGGCATCGGCCCTTCATGCGTTGAACCCACGTGCCAAGGCTTCGGCCCCTCATGCCCTGACCCCTCATGCTGGGGCCTTGGCTGGCCCCTCATGCGTTGACCCCCTCATGCTGGGCATAGGCCCTTTATGCGTTGACTCCTCGTGCCAGGGCTTCGGCCCCTCATGCTCTGACCCCTCATGCTGGGGCCTTGGCTGGCCCCTCATGCGTTGACCCCCTTTATGCTGCGGGATTGGCCCTTCATGCGTTGACCCCTCATGCCAGGGCCTCGGCCCCTCATGCCCTGACCCCTCATGCTGGGGCCTTGGCTGGCCCCTCATGCGTTGACCCCCTGATGCCGGGGCTTCGGCCCCTCATGCCCTGACCAGCTCATGCGGGGACTTCGGCCCCCATGCTTTGAACCCTCATGCTGGGGCGTTGGTCCTTCATGCGTTGACCCCCTCATGCCGGGGCTTCGGCCGCTCATGCCCTGACCAGCTCATGCTGGGGCCTTGGCTGGCCCCATGCTGGGGTATCGGCCCTTCATGCGTTGACCCCTCTTGCCCAGGCTTCGGCCCCTCATGCCCTGACCCGCTCATGCTGGGGCCTTGGCTGGCCCCTCATGCGTTGACCCCCTCATGCTGGGGCATCGGCACTTCATGCGTTGACCTCGCATGCCGGGGCTTCGGCTCCTCATGCCCTGATCCTCTCATGCTGAGGCCTTGGCTGGCCCCTCGTGCGTTGACCCTCTCATGCTGGAGCTTCGGCCTTTCATGCGTTGACCCCTCATGCCCAACCTTCGACCCCTCATGCCCTGACCCCTCATGCTGAGGCCTTGGCTGGCCTCTCATGCGTTGACCCCCTCATGCTGGGACATTGGCCCTTCATGCGTTGACCCCTCATCTACCAGCTCCAAATGCTACCCCTACCAAGGCAACCCTCCCCGTGTGCTACCCATAACACGGGTAGTCAACTCTTTTCTCCGCATGCGCTACCCTCACCTTGGCATGCGGTGGCATGCATTGGCATGCGTTGGCATGCACTGGCATGCATTGGAATGCAGTGGCATGCGTTGGCATGCGTTGGCATGCGTTGGCATGCATTGGCATGCGTCGGCATGCGTTGGCATGCGTTGGCATGCAGTGGCATGCACTGGCATGCACTGGTATGCGTTGGCGTGCTATGGCACGCGTTGGCATGCATTGGCATGCATTGGCATGCTTTGGCATGCCTTGGCATGTATTCACATGCGTTCACATGCACTGGCATCCACTGGCATGCGTTGGCGTGTTATGGCACTCGTTGGCATGCATTGTCATGCATTGGCATGCATTCGCATGCATTGGAGTGCCATGACATGCGTTGGCATGGATTGGCATGCATTGGCATGCGTTGGCATGCATTGGCATGCATTGGTATGCATTCGCATGTATTGGCATGCGTTGGCATTTGTTGGTATAAGTTGGCATGCGTTGGCATGCGTTGGCATGCATTAGCATGCGTTGGCGCGCGTTGGCATGCATTGGCATGCGTTGGTCTGCGTTGGCAGCCCTCCCCGCGTGCTACCCCTAACCTGGGCAGCCAATTCGTCCTTCTGGGGGGCTACTAGCCAGGGCGAGCCCTCGTCAGCAACCCCTACTGACAGGCTCCGAGTCGGGGTGCAACCCAAGCAGACCTGGCAGTTTGGGGCAGTGATCCTCCTCCTCCTCCTCATCCTCCTCCTCCTCCCTCTCCTGCTGTTCCTCCGCCCTCTCCTCCTGCTGCTCCTCAACCTCCTGTTCGCCCCAAACCCCTCCTCAATATTACCCTCGCCCCTGGAACCGTCCGTGGCATCCAAAGTATCCTTCTTATCCTACTCCTCCTCCTCCTCCTCCTCCTCTCCTCGTCCCCGTCCTCCCCCCCTCCGTTCCTCCAACCCTCCCCCCCTCCCACTCCTCCCGCTCCTCCCACTCCTCCCGCGTCTACTGCTTCTTCCTTCAATCGCTATTGCTCCTCCTCCTGCTCCAGCTCCTGGCCCACTGATTCCTGCCACTCGCCCACATGTCAGGCCACCCAAGGGGCGCGCCTCGTGCCAGTCCCGACCACCAGTGATGGACTCAAAGAGAGTCAGCAAGGCGGTGAAGATGTCTCCGAAGAGGTCCTTCCCGCGGCTGGCCTCCGTGCCCCGCCCCCCTTGCGCCGCGCTGCCTTTCCCGGGAAACTGGCCAGGCACGCCTGTCCCAAAACGGGCCAAAAAGGTATAACGGACACACAGGACTGCGGCCGACGGGAGCCAGCGGCGAAGGTACCTACCAATGCGAAGCTGAAAAACAACAGACGCCGCGTGGATTGTGATTCCTGGACCATCGGCGGAAGTCAGCCTTGAACGTCCGCGGCACAGCCGCCGCCGCGTCAACACGATGCAAACCTGCCGTACAATCAACCCGTAAAACATGCAGGTGCGCGGTGAGGACGTAAGGGCCTTGGGCTGACGCCCGAACAGACGCAGACCTTAGCCAGATGAAACAGCCTTTAGCGGGAGTGGGCCAAATCTGCCTGACCTTCGAGGGAAGGATGGAGGGGAGATACAATCGGGCCGCTGAAAGAAGGACCGCAAAATAAGGAACGAAGCCACGAAGCCCCTTCTTGGCCATGTAAGCGCCTCCGTGCCCCAGGAGGGCAAGAGGAACAGCACTGGAGGAACCTAAGGAACATCGAACCCCTTCCGAACCCAAACTGTTCCTTATTTCAGCGTTTTGACTGTAAGGCAAGGGCGGTCGGAGGTCCCAAGCAAGAGCTGGACGATCTGGGAGGCCCCATCGTGGCGCTGATGCGCGCAGGGCCCAGACACAGCCAACGGCCTCCAATGTCCTACTGTGGGGCGATCCGTGCTGGCGTCGGCGAAGGGGCCCCAACCAACAGACTGGCGTGGCCCAGCGGCGACGACGAGAGGGGAACGCCAGGCAAGGCGGCAAGGGGGGTGGGGAACTACGGGCGAGGCGAGGGGGAGGGGACCAGGAGGAGGATGAAGGAGGGGTTGTCCCGCCTCTCGGCGCAACTGTCCTGGAGCACGGGACGCCAGAGTGGGGTGCGGGCTGTGCTTCGGCTGGAGCAGGGAGAAGCGACATCACCACCGTCATGGTCAGAAGGACCAAAACGGGATCCTCGTGGTGGTTTGGCCGTGTCGCCGTTCTTCGGCGTCCCGCTCGAAACATCTCCGATATCCAGCGGGGGGGCGTATCGTGGACCTCTTCGCCACGTGTGGCTCTACTTGCGATGGTGGTGCTCTCCATCTTTCCGATTCGGCTGCAGTTCCTTGATCGCCCGTGCATCAGCACTAAATAGGCCTTCCTCTCGTAAGTAGTCCGCCGCTCCGTGCATGAAGAGGACTGCGAATACAAACTGGAACGACACAATTACTACGAAGACCCACATCAGCGTGCCGAAAGACTGGATTATGGCGAGGATCATGATCCGGAAATTCTGGATGGAACGGACCACCCTGACGGCTCGGAATATCCGGATAAGACGGAAGATGCGGAGCATGCGCATCGCTGTCAAGCTCGGGACTGAGGCTGCCGCCAACAACTTAGTAAGACCCCTCCTCCTGTTCCCTCCTCATCCCCCCTCTTCATCCTGCGGCCAGCAAGGGAGGGGCGTGAGAGGAGGACGAGGAGTAGGCAGAAGGATCAGAGGACAAGCAGGAGCAGAAAGGACGAACCTGATAGCACCATCAAGCTGTCACCTTGGTGCTCGATGTAACCTTGAGTCAACCCGTCGCGACCCTGCTTAGAGGCACTACTTCGGCTGACGGCATTAGCTGCAAATGCAATTCAATGCAATGAGGTGAAAGGCAACGCAATGTTGTGCGACGCAATGCACAACATGATACAACACGTCACAATATGGCATACTACCGCCACGCGACCATAACATACTAACATTGTGTAGCATCGGTCAGTCGGGCTTACTAGCACGGACTATCATGGCATAGCATGGCGTAGCAAATCATGGCTTGACGTAGCACTGTATATGCTGGGAGACACAGCATAAGAAGCCATTGCATAACAGATCAAACAATTGCATAACATGGCATGGCGCTGCTCAGCTAGGCTCCTTCCCCCTCTCCCCCTTTCTCTCAATCCCTTCCCATCCCGCTCCATTCTTTCCTCCCTCCCCCTTTCTGCCTCTCCCTTACCCACTCCCCTTCATCCCCGTACCCTCCTCCTCATCCTGCTCCCAAGACAAGAATGCGAGCGCGAGTCGAAAAGGAGATGGCCGGCCTTTCCCCTGACGGAAGCACTGGCGCGCATGGTCTATAAATATGTATATATGTATGTATATATACATATATATATATATATATATATAAAAATACATACATACATACCTATACGACCACCCTGCGGGTGATAAGGAGGATTGGGAGGACGGCAGCAATGGGCAAAAGTGGTAATTGTTGTTCTGACGATGCCAGTGGGGCGGAGTCTAGTGGGTAGTGTGATTGTGCACGTGAGCAAGATGTGATGTGGCGATGTTGGCGAAGCGCACTGGATAGCTCGCCGCAAGCGGCGATGTTTTGAAATGCGCAACCTACGGCGGGACACCGGCGGGACACCGGCGGGACATCAGCGGGACACCGCGGGCCACCGTTTGACGGGAGGAGCATCATTTGGTCCAGCCGCGGCCCAGCCACAGGAGGATTTCGGGACACCAGCGGGACACAGGCGGGACACCGCGCGCCTCCGGTCGCCGGAGGAGAATCATTTGGTCCGGCCGCGGCCCAGCCACAGGAATATTTCGGGACACCAGCGGGACACCGGCGGGACACCGCGGGCCACCAGCCGCCGGAGGAGAATCATTTGGTCAGGCCGCGGCCCAGCCACAGGAGGACTTCCTCTCGCCCGCCCACGCAGCTTCGCCTCGCCCGCCCGCACGCACGCACGCACGGCAGGCACGACACGAACCCGAAACCGAAATCGATTTCCCGGTAGGGGGGTGTCCGTTTCACGTCGGACTCACCCCCCAACCTCCGATACACACACACACACACATATATATATACAGATATACATATATATACATATACTAGAACCATCGCGCGCGCTTCGGGCGCGCTCAGGTTCTAGCAGGCCCCAGGCCTTGACGAATTCACTGCTCCACTGAAGTAGTGGACCACAGTCCACGCATGCCAATCGGCATTCCGAAAAGCCTTCGAGGACAATTGTTGTGTAAGGGGGCGGAGGCCGTACGAATCGGGTTCCCAGAAGGCCCTCTGGGAGCATGGGTTAGGGGCGTCTTGGGGAGCCTGTTGGGGCGTGCCGTCGTCGTCGTCGTCGTCGTCGTCGTCGTCGTAATGTCGTCGTCGACTATTGGGGCACGCCGTCGTCGTCGTCGTCGTCGTCGTCGTCTTCGTCGTTTCGTCGTCGTCGTCGTCGATTCAAGAGGGCACTTTGGGCAACCTTGTGCGAAACGATCTGCGGAGGGTCGCGAGAAGCTCCTGTAGCATGTTGGTACTTCGAAGACTCCGGAGACTCGCGGACCCATCATGAACCATGTCCCCGGAAGGCTTTCTGGGGACATGGTTTTTTGGGGTGTGTTGGGGGATCTCTTGGGCATTCACTGGGGGCCCCTTGGGGGCCTCCAGGAACTCTCGGGCCCACGACGAACCTGTTCGTAATGTCTTTTTTTTTTTTTCTCAGCGGGCGCGCGGCGCCTTTGCTGTCTTAGGGCCCTAAGACTAGGGCCGAAAAGGGGGCGTGGCAAAAAGGGGGGGGTCGGAGGCAGAGAGAGAAAATTGGGGCAAGCTGAAGGCAGACGGGCGGGGCACCCGTGAAATTCTCACACTGGGTGGGAAAAGATGCCGACCGTCTGCCGGTCTCGCTCGCTCTACCGCGATGGAGGCGCAGCTCCTGCTAACTCACCACAGCGAGATCGGGCCACAGCCCCGATCGCAACAGAGATGCAACTCTCCGTCTCTACCATGGGCCCGCGCGGCGGCCCCGTCACTAGGGAGACGCGGCTCCCGCGTTTCCAGCCACACGCTGGGCCTTCCTCCTCTCCTTCGCTCGCTCACGCTGTCCTTGTCGCAACGCCTGGCGGTGCCGCTCCATGTTCTCCTGCTGGCTCGTCGGTGCCAAGCTGAAGAGGCCAGTCTTCAGAAACAGCTCCAACACGGAATTGGGCTGCACCGCCTTCGTCAGGATGTCTGCTAGCATGTGCGCGTTCGGAAGCCATTTTAATTTGATGGTCTCCTGCTCGATCAGGTCCCGGGCCACAAACAAATCGATGAGGGTCTGCCGCGACACCGGCAGAGATCCTATCTTGCTCACGTGGTCGAACAGCGATTTTGCATCAGTAACCAATGCTCCTGGGATCCTCAACTTGAGCCTCCAATCACCTTGAAGATCGGGCTCACCGAAGAGGACGCTCTCGATGAGCAAACGCAGATACAACTGCCTGTCCAAGGCCACCGGCATTGCCGCCGACTCCGCCGCCATAGTGGAGCCAAGAACTCTCGTGATAGTATTGCTCTGAAACTCCACTAAATCGCAAGTCTCCGGGCCTGTCTGGATGCCGATCCCCGTCAACATGTTCATGGAACCCATTTGGCTCTTACAGCCCGCCTCCTTGGCAAAAGAAGCGCCCATCAAAGTAAGAACCATCAAATTCTCGATGTTGAGCTTCCGGAGTCGCAATGTTGCCAGCCCCTGCTTGTCGTAACCCTTTAACCGGTCGATCAACTCATTAAGAGCTCGTATATGTAGGACTTGCTTCTCGTTCGAATCCTTTTGCGAAAGGGCCGAGACTCCATGGGCCAGCTGCGGTGCCAAGCGCGCCACAGGCCACCGTGCCTTGGCCAACGCGCTACGGAACTCCTGCACCTCAGCTGGGGTCATGACCCTCGTGTCGCCCTCGTCGCGTTTGATGCGGATAGGTTGTAACTTCTCGATGCACTCGTGCATGTTGATCTCGATGCAGTCCGGGTGCCGGCACCAGTGCTCTCCTAAGTACTCTACGGGGTTCGTGTTGTTATTAGGCTTCCAATACTTAACGTTGAAATTGCTGTTGATGTCGCCCTTAACCTGCCGGCACTCCCTGGAAGACGTGTTTCCGAACAGCATGCCGTCATCAACGTGCAAGGTAAGTAAAGCAACGATCTTCCCGCGCAGCCTCTTCACGAAAACCGCTCTCGCGCCGCGTAGTTCCACGAAATGCAACGCGTCCACGAGAACCCGTCGCGCCTTGAGGTACCATAGTCGCGGTGCCTTTGTCAGTCCATAAGCGCCCTTCAAAAGACGGAGAAGGGCATAGGGGCGCACGGGTGGCCAACCAGATCCTGGAGGGGAGGGGAGACCGTCCCTGGGGGCTCGGACGCACAGCTCTCGGTCCAAAAGCATACCTGACAAGAAAGCCGTAGCGACGTCGAAAACCTCGAAGCTCCAGTCGAAAATGATGGCGATGGTCGCGCACACAAGCACTGGTAACGAAGAAGTTGTGGGTGAATCCGTCCGGAAGAGGCCGAGTTGCGGATCGTGTTGTCCAGGAATGATTAAACGTGACTTGGCCGCGATGTCCGGCGCCTTCCCCCTGTTAGTCCGCGCGTGCCTCATGGGCACGCTGATGATCTTGTCCTTCGGGATGTGCTTCCCCATATGTTCATCCACGAGTTCCACAGCGCCGTTCGCGAGCCACTGCTTCCACTCAGCCTCGTCCGCGGCGTCGAACAACTTCTTCTCCTCCTCGTTGAAGAACCAGGGGCCCAACTCTTTCGCGTTGGTCTTGAGGACCATGGCGTACACATCATGCTCAAATCTGGCGTCGCGCTCCCAAGTCTGGAAGACATCGGACACGTTCTCCCACTCTTCGTATGTACATGGCACTTTAACCAATCCAACTGGGGTGTCAATGAAGTACGTGCCAACTGCAGTATCCAATGGAATGTCGTGGTAAAAGATCGTCATCCCCTTCCACGAAAACTCCATCTTCTGATTATGCCGCTCCGCGCCGTCATCCCTAAAAATATACATGTAACATCTTCCGAAACCATAGCACTGAGCCTGTTGCACGTATTGCGCCTCGGGTGGTCGTAGAGTCGGCGCCGGGGCTGCGCGTGCAAGCGAGCGCCCTGCACCTGTTTACGTAGCAATGTAGATAAGCTTGCAACCTGGCCCTTATCCAACCACTCGCGCCCGCCCGCGTGGACCACGAAGCTCACGGCCACCGTCTGGAGAGCTGCCAGTCCAGAAGGCGGCTGCTCCTGGATGCGCGTTCGCTTAATGCTCACGGGCACGTCATCCAAAAGAAACTTCCGCTTTCGCTCAGCGTCGAACTCGTCGCATGGCATCGGCGGAAGCTTGCTTAGATCCATGCCCACAGGATCCGCCCGCGGAGCTGCGCTCGAACCTGCTCCTCCCTCAGGGGGAGGTTCCGTGAGAGCTGGAGTTTCTAATGGCGGCGCAGACGTAGGACTCGACCTCCTTTTGGGCTCCGGCGCCTGCCGCGTGGGGGCGCCCTCCGGGGCGCCCAAAGCTTGCAGAGCCTTGAGGTCCACCTTCGGGGCCACCAGCTCCTTCATACTAGGCCGGTGCTTCTTGAGGATAGACTTTTTCACACGCTCGTGCACCTTGGGAGTTGCCGTCGCATCCACCATGTCACGGTGCGTCCTGTCTTCCTTCTCGGAAGTCCTGCCGAAGTCTGCCTGGATCTCGCTTGCGGCTGCGGCTTCAAAAGAGGATGCATAACGCACTTGCTCTCGTGCAACAAGAAGTACACGTCCTTTCCACGACAGGTAATAACGTCCATTCGTCTCCGTAGCAATGACCGTTGCCGGACCTCCCCAACGTTCTGGGTCCTGGCGCCTCCTCC